TGCAGTGATGACAGCGCGGTGCGGGCCACATTGCAAGGCCTGGCGGGACGGATTTGGCCCGCGGGCCTTGTGTTTGACACATGTGTTATAAGGCAACCAAGGGAGCTAAAATCCAAGTGCACGTGCGATATGAGCACCAGCTCACCTCTTCACAGAAAGGAAGAGACGCAGAATGCCAAGCAAGTTGTCGTGAACCATTCAACTAAGATTTTTACAAATTGTCAAAGGTCAATGCAGGCTGCACCACAGCACAAAATTCCCGAGGTGACACAGAGGAGTGTTCACCCCCATGAGAGCCTGGAGAAAGGAAGTGGGAAAAAGCCGTTATCCTCTGTAGAACAATCCATCGAGCCACGGGGAGAGGGACAATAAGCCCGGATACCCCAGGGCGGAGGTGAGGACCACTGAAGCTAAGGTAGTGTCTATGAAAAAGCTCTCTAGCTGCCTGGAACACCAGTGTGATGGCCGGCGCTCCAGCAGTCATTCTGGCCACACGATGACAGAAGTTGGAAGCCATGAACTGGGATGGTGGGATGGGAAATAGGAAGCAAGTCCCGACGATGAGCCATACCAGCCCTGAAATGCCAATCTCTGAACTCTTTCAGTGAGAGGTAATAAACTACTACTTTGCTTAAGCCACTCTGGTTTTTGTTATATTTAGCCAACTAATTCTAATTGAATCAGAACTAGGCATACACTCACTTATAGAGGATCCTCTTGTCCCTGGGACCTTCCTAGAACATAAACCAAAAGTCAGCTGGACCCAAAGGCAACCTTGTGCTTCCATGGGTAGATCCTCTTTGAAAAATAACAACTGCTATAAAATTCAAAATTTATTCTAGGCTAAAATTACTTTAGTGTGAAAGATATTAGTAGGATGAAAGATATAACCTTTCGAGTATCTAAGGGGTGAGGATAAGGAGTCTAAAAACTAATGGCCTCTTAGAATGCCACACCCCACACCCCAACTTGTTTAGGACATATGAAGTGACAGAAGCTCATCCAAAGATAAAGCAGGTAACTTGCTCCCTCTAGTGGTGAGTTTAGAGACCTGAGGGTTCTGCTTTTCCTTTGGGACAAAAAACAAATAAAAAAACCAACAAAAAAGAAAAAAAAAAAACAGCAAAAGACTGAGTTTGGAAATTTATAACTGATTTTTAAAACTATTTTTGTTTAAAAAGTGACCTTGTGTTCCTTCTATTTGATAATAGTGCAGTTACTGTAGAATTTTTTTCTTTTTCTTTTGTTTTTTTGTTTTTTTGTTAAATGAAAATAAAGGAAATTTATTACCTGTATATAGTATGGTAGTACAGTAGTTGTCAACACAAACCAGAAAAACTGTGAATCCTACAGTATCAAGAATTTACTCATTTATTCAATGACAATCATGTCATCATCTTCTGGAACATCATCATAACAATCCAATTCCTGAATTTCCTGGTGGATTTCTTGTGACTCCATTTCTTTCAAAATCAGTGGACCAAATCTCTCATGTTTAGCCTAGGGGGGCCTTATTTTCAGGGAGATGCCTTATATTTCACTCAGAAGGAAACCTGTAAGTAGGTCTTATTTTTGGAGGATGTCTTATTTTCGGGGAAACACGGTAGTTATATACCTAAGACAACTGAAAACAGGTGTTCATCCAAAAATTTGCATATGAATGTTCATAGCAACATTTTTCATAACTAGAGGCCCAGTGCATGGATTTGTGTACCAGTGAGGTCCCTTAGCCTAGCCTGAGTCCTCTCACAATCTGGGACCCCTCAGGGGATGTCAGAGAGCTGGTTTCAGCCTGATCTCCACAGGCCTAATTAGAATTTTAAAAATCCCTGTATGTTGTTACATGAAGCAATAGTTCATTAATTTTTATTTCTGAGTAATATTCCATTGTGTACATTACTACAGTTGATTATCTAATGTATTTGTTAATGTCATGTGTTTTGTCTTTACATATACACAAATACAACATATTTTCATTATTTTTGTTTTAGATAGTTAGCTTTTAAAAAATTTTTTAAATTATTATTTTATTTTATTATTTTTAAAATAAATATTTATTGTTCATATTATTACAAATGTTCCTTCCCCCCCCCCATTGCTCTCCTCCACCAGGTTCCCACCCCACCCTCTGCCCTTTCCCCACTCCCCATTGTCCTCATCCATAGGTGCACAGTTTATGTTCAGTCCCTTCCCACATCCCCCTCTCCCCTTTTCCCCAAGAATCGTCAGTTCACTCCCCTTCCATACCTCTGATTCTATTATATTCAACAGTTAATATTGTTCATCAGATTTTTAAAAAAATTTCCTTGGTTTTTAGATTCACTTGTTGATAGTTACGTATTTGTTGTTCATAATTTTTATCTTTATTTACTTTCTCTTCTGAAAGAACCCCCTTCAGCAATTCATATAATTCTGGTTTGGTGTTGATGAACTCCTTTAGCTTTTTTTTTTATTAGTGAAGCTCTTTATCTGACCTTTGATTCTGAGTGATAGCTTTGCCAGATAGATTATCTTTGGCTGTAGGTTCTTACTATTCATCACCTTGAATATTTCTTGGAATGGCAATTCTTTAATATAAGGCTAATGGTTTCTGCTATAATTATTTTATAAAAAATTTAAAAGTTGTCCTTGTATAAATGATGTCTACATAAATTGTCTTTTGTAATTCATATAAAAATGAAAATTGTGTGTTTATTATATAAGTAATTGGTGTCTATATTAATTGGTTTTTGTAATCCATCTAAAATTGAAAATCGGTGTTAACATTCTACTTGGATATTTTGGTAGATTTTTTTCAAGTATAATATTTCTATAATAATTATTACTATAACTGAGTTGATTATTGATCATGATCTAGTCATATTTTATAAGATTATTAATAAACTTTAGAAAAATACAATACTAGAGCAATAAATATCTTTAAATATTTTTTTCAAATATATATAGTGATTTCATAGAGGAAGAGAGAGTAGAGAGAGATAGAAACATCCATGATGAGAGAGAATCATTGATTGGCTGCCTTCAGCATGCCCCCCTTTGGGTATTAAATCTGGAACTGGGGCATATGCCCTGACTGGGAATGGAACGGTGACCCCTGGTTCATAGGTTGATGCTCAACCACTGAGCCACACAAGCTGGATAGATCTTAGCAACTTTCAAACATTGTTATCTAGAGTTGCCATGGTGTACTGAAAGTTTTTAAAAATATATACATTTTGTCCTCATTTATGTCCCATTATTCTATGTTATACTTCAAGAACATCTCTCATTTCATCCAGGTGTGGCTCAGTAGTTGAGCGTTGACCTATGTATGAACCAGGAGGTCACAGTTATATTCCCTGTCAGGGTACATGCTCAGGTTGTGGGTTCTATCCCCAATAGGAGGATGCAGGAAGCAGTAGATCAATGATTCTCTCTAATCATTGATGTTTCTATCTCTGTCCCTCTCCCTTCCTCTCTGAAATCAATTTTTAAAAATTTAAGAAAGAGAAAAGAACATCTCTTATTTCTAGATTATTTGTAGGCTGGATTTCTATGACTTGTCCTTCACTACACTTCTGAGCTCTTCAAAATGTCTGTATTCATTTTACATTTGGAAGTATTTTTGATGTGGATCTTCTCTCTATTTGAAGCCATGGCCAGCATGGCCTCGGATTCAAAGGCTCGGAGAAAGGGCTGACACAAATTAATACACAAGACAAGAAAAATAAATTTGGAAATTATGGGGGAAGCCAGGGAAAGCTTAGCTGTAGTAGCCAAGTTTCACTGAGTTTCTGTTCAGGTCTGCTTTTATTTACTAGAATATACAATACAATTGCTTTTAGGAATGCAAACAGACATATCAATGGTCACATTTAGTAAACAGTCAGATTATCAGGTTGGGGAGTTTGCTTAGGCCATTGAGTCAGCTGTAGGTAATAAAATGCAAATATTCACCCTGTGAATATCAAAGAGCCCAATTCAGCCTCTGACCCAGACTTCTCACATTTATATTAATTACTGTTGATCTTGGTTCTCAGCACTACTCATTAGACTTTTCACACCATCAAAGCTGTGGTCTATTGCTTCTAAATGGAACCTACCGAGTTTTCCCTCCTTTTTCTATCACTGTGCTATAATAACAGAGCACCCTGTTTCCTTTCTTTCTTACTTTCTGAAATCTAAGTCTATTCTTGTTCGATGGTGGCTATATCCTCTCAACGTGTTTCTATACCATGGCCATGTTTGATACAGAATGCTGAGAGCAAGTACCTGGCATGGCCCATCCTAGTGGTGAGGGAGGGTGGGCCTCATCTCAGAAAAAGCCAAGGGAAACAGGTTGGGGTGAGTAGGGACAGGACGTAGACACTCTGTGTGTGAGGCACCTCACTGAGCACTTTCTCTATGGACCTCATTTAGTCCTCACAAAGCTCCTAGCAATATGGTCTCAATACTCAACTGGTTGGCAGTGTGCCTGGCCCTCTCTCACTTCTGCTGACTGGAGGGGATGGAGAGTGGGCCTCAGAGAGCAAGGGGGCTCTCTAGTCCTCTGATAATGTTCACAGCTAATTTTTGTTTACACAAAAATATTATTCTCATGACACTTTCATGAGAGAGTTGGAAAGGTCATTGTCATTATTCCCAGAGAACAGGAAGCCAGGATTTGGATAAGCTCAGTTAAGAGGGGAGCCCTGCCCTAACGGGTTTGGCTCAGTGGATACAGCATCTGCCTTCAGACTGAAGGATCTCAGGTTCCATTCTGGTCAAGGGCAGGTTCCTTGATTGCGGGCACATCCCCAGTAGGAGGTGTGCAGGAGGCAGCTGAATCGGTGTCTTTCTCATCGACGTTTCTAACTCTCTATTCCTCTCCCTTCCTCTCTATAAAAAAATCAGTAATAATAATTAAAAAAAAGACGGAGCCCTGGTTCTGGATTTGTGCATTGTCTTTGACGTCTGGAGCTGAGGCAACCAGTGACAGAAACAACTACAGACACAGGGCTTCCCAGCAGCAGTATCATATCCTGTTGTGCAACTTTCAGAAGCCATTAGGTCAGAGTGTCACCTAGTAGCTGTCCCAGGGGCCACGGCGGCAGTTGGAGTTGGTGCCCATGAAGGATGAGGAAGGCCAGGTTCTGGGGGCTGCTGTGGACGTCCTTCATCCTAGGTAAGGTGAGGAAGAGGAGGGAGTGGGTGAGGCCCCTGCCAGGAGCCCTGGGTGATCCCACCATGAGAAAGGTTTTCCTTTTCTCTGAAAGCTCCAGGAGCTCTGACTGCCTAAGTGACAGGGGACCAACAGTTTTGTCGGGCTGGCTCTGACTGCGCAAATTTAGCAGCATCGGGGGTGATAATCCAGGTGGGCAGATGGAGGTTGGCTTTCATGAACCGGTGCCTTTCGTGTTTTTCAAAAGGAGAACTGGGACAAGAGCGAGGGTGGAGGGTTGTGTACTTGCCGTGTCCTGTGGGGAAGGCTTGGGGTTATCGAAAAGCTCCTTCTAGCTTCTGGGAAGTAGAGTCACTAGGCATCCGTTCATACTTGGGCTGGGCCTGCTGATTGGAACTGGTGTCGGTATAACCCAAGGGATCTCAACCTTGGTATTATTGACATTTTGGGTAGGATGGTTCTTTATTCACGGGACAGTTTTGTGCATTGTAGGATGTTTAGCAATTTCTCTGGCCCTTACCAAAATGTCTCCAGGTATTGCCCAATGCCCCCAGGAAGGCAAAAGTGCCCTCGGTAGAAATACAGCAATTGAAGTTCCATATCCCACTGACCTATCAACTTTAGCGAGAAAGAGCATTCTTCTCAACAGTTACAGTGGTAGTCTCAGGGAGAATTCTAGTTGGCTCAGCCCCAGTCCTGTGCCCATTCTTAAACCGATGAGAGTGACCAGAGCGATGAGGTTCTTTGATTGGCTAAGCCTGTGTCATGTTCCATCCTTGAGAATGTGGGCAGCCCCAGGAGTAAAGCCACATAGGATTGGACCCCTGAGACGGAGGTGCTTTGGAATACCAGGGAGTCAGAGATCTGTGTCCGCCACTCCTCAAGATGGTTTCCTCGCTGTTTATTCAATAGTGTCTTGAACTGATCTCTTTTCCTGACTCAGATGAAGTGCCTCCAGCTGTTGGGAGGAGTTGATCTCTGCTAGTATAGTGTCCACGCATCCACTCCCCACTCTGTGTGCCTTTCTCTATAATCTTTCCTTCCCATCATGCCCTCGTCATGCATGGTCTTAGCACACGTCTCATGTTCTGTCTCTAATCTGGTACTTTCTTCCTTTCAAAACCAAACTATAATCATAAAAGTGTAATATGCTAATCAGACTGGACGTCCTTCTGGACTTTCTTCCTTCTGGACAAAGCCACAGCCTGGGCGGGGGGAGGGGGTTTGAGGCAGAGGCGGCAGAGGCAGAGACCCCCGACCCACTTCCCGGCTGCTATAGCAGCGGGCAGGGGCAGGGGCCAAAGCCTTTGCATGAATTTTTTGCTTCAGGCCTCCACTCATTTATAAAAAACAATTTGCAAGAACCATGTGCAGTCTAGCCGGTGTTATTAAAAACAAGCAATGAAACAAAAACTACTCACAGTGAAAGTTGCCTCTTTCCTGGAGACCATAAGGATCTTGTCTGAAAAAAAAAATGGGTGGTTGGACAAGAAGAAGAGGTGGTATCTCTCTTTCTTTCCAAAGAGGAAAATGTACAGAGCCACCTCTGCTTCCCTGCTTACAGAACTCCAAGGTGCGCCCACATCAGAGACCAAGCGTACGCTGACCGAGGGGACGCACCTGATGGAGAAATGTCCTGTCAGTGTGAACAAATACCTCTACTACCGGAAGGCATGGCAGAGGCTGGGAGACAGAGGGGAGATCCAGACATTAGTCAATACAGAGTTGACCTCAGGAATGAACTCCAAAGTCCAGATGGGCAGGTACATCCTAGACGACATGCCCAGGGAGGGCATAATGTACATTCACATGTCCGACCTGCGCCTGGAGGACTCGGGACTGTATCGGTGTGTGATCTACCAGCCTCCCAAAGCCCCCATCCCGCTGCACCAGCCCATACGCCTGGTGGTGACAAGGGGTGAGTGGCCTGGGCTGGGAGGTGAAGCGGGAGAGCCGGGGTGGGTGGGGGCAGGGCTGTGGCCCAGGGTTTCCAGCAGCCTGTCTTTCTCCCAGAAGCTCCAGGTCTGTCATTTGAGGTCCCCGAGAGGCATTTGGTCCAATAGTGAGAAAGGGTTTCTATGTATGAGTCCTCTTGGGCTGCAGAGTCTGATGTGGGGTGCTCTTATAGGAAAAGGGGTACAGTGAGAGGTGAATGGTAGACCTGGGATAATTTTGTCTTATTTTGCAGGGTTCTAGGTAGAATGGATATAGTCAGGAGGCCTCTGGGACCTGCTCTCGCCTTCCCAAAGGTGCATTTGATGGCCCTCCTATGTGCTTACAAAGCAGTGCTTCTTAGACCTCCCTGTGGGCACAGATTACCTGGGATCTTTCAAATATTTCAAATACAGATGGATTTGATGAGCCTAGGGTGGGACCTAGATTCAGTATCTCTGATTTGCTTAGAGATGATGCTGATGCTGTGGCCCATGGCTCCCAAATGGAGTAGCAAGGCTCCCGAGCTCACTTTGTATCCCCGTTCACAGAAAACACCTCTAACTTATCTGTCCCCCTTATTTCTCTCTGAGCACATTGAGGGAGGAGCCTATGCCCAGCTTAGGTCTGTATCCCCAGCAAATAATGTATTATAGTATGATTAATGCAGTGCGGGACATAGAGTAGGTCTGCAATAGATGTTGGTCTGATGAATTCAGAAAGGCAGAGGAAAGAGAGACAGGTTCAAGTTCCTAGGTAACCTATGCAATATGTTAATAAAAAATGACTGGTTAAGCAATATGCCACAGGTATAGGTGAGTGCAAGGCAGAGGGGATGGTGAGAGCTGGAGGAATCGAGGATTATTCTTGAGAAGGTGGGGCATATGGATTGGTGAAGAATAGCAGGCAAGGGCATTTCCAAGGACATGAACAGAAAATTCCTCCCTCCTTCTCTTTCATAAAAAAAAAAAAAAAAAAAAAAGAAAAAGAAAAAGAAAAAGAAAAAGAAAAAAAAATCTTAGCCAAAGGAAACCTTGTATCATGAATGTCAAAGTTCATTTCCCTCCTCAGATCCATTTACCCTATGACCCATCCATACATCCAATGTGTTTTCTCACAGATCCTGCCTCACACGTTGATTCTATCCAGAATCTGGCTCAGAGTTCCACTCTTCCTCCTGTGACCACCCTTCCTCCTGTGACCACCACGACCCAGGGCAGGACCCGAGCCAGCACCCGTCCTGTGACTCAGCCCATGTCAACTGCCAGCCTCGGAGTCAACCCCACACACAAGACGGACACCCCCAGGTCTCTCCGTGGGGGCTGGGTGGTGGGTTTGGACCCTTTGATTCCCAGTCCTGGTCCTGAGAGGATGTGGGGGGTGAGGGATGGGGAGGGAGAAGCCCAGGAGCAGACTTGAGTCACTTCCATCTGCTAGGACTTCCCAGGGCGCAGGGGGTGGAGCTGGAGGGGGGAGTAGGCTCTGGCCAGGCTGCCATCTCCCCAGTTCACCCTCTCTCCTGGGGTGCCAGAGGAGGGCGAAGTGGCATCTTTGCTAAATTCCCATGCTTATTTCTGTTTGTACACGTTTTAACACAGTGATAGTTCTAAATATTTTCATTAATTTTCTGTGCTAAAACTCTTCTTTCATGTGCTACCTAGTCTTCCTAATTATAATTTCAATGAATGTCTACTTTTGTATCCATGGGGAAACCATAACTTAGGTAATCCTTGGCCTGTTTTTAGATGTTGAAATTGTTTCCTCTTTTTCATACTATAAACTCTGAGATGGGCATATTTTTGCAGATGTCTTTTCCTTTAAATCATTTATTCAAACAGAAGTGCAGTGAGGAACCATAGAACGTGTGCACTGCTCCGTATACCAAACGTCCCTCCAAAGACAGGGAGCGGTGTGACCCATAAGGCACATGAGGGCGGGGTTGCTGCAGGCAGCCCTCTGGGGACTTTCTGCAGCAGGCTCACACCCAGGTGCAGGCCACAGGGAGGAGGGCCAGAGAGGCCCTGGGCTGGCTGGCCCCACCCCATGCCCCGCCAGCCTGCAGCACCACTGGTGTCTGACCTTGACCAGGCCACCTGGCACATCTCCTTTCCGGTGACTCAGGACAGTTTCTCAGCCAGGGGGTGGACGGAGGCCACAGGTTTGCTTCCCACTTTCTAGAGCCATTATGTCGTTGGGCACTTTGCCTGTTTGTACATTTGGTTTTTAGTTTTGTGTAGGCAAAAGCCAATTCTAAAGTCACTGTTGTTTTATTCCTTCCATGTGCTTGATTCTACTTCCTGGTGACTTTTCAATTATCTAAAAATGTCAACTTTAAATTTAAATTTTGGATTCTTATGTAACATTAGATCTGCCTCTGGATTTCAATGTGTTTCACTGCCACCTTTTCTCCCTTGGTTCCGTGTCTTATCAAGCGGGCCGCTTGTGCTGTAACCTATTTTCATGTCTCTGAGTGTAGGCAGGCCAAGTCTCCTCACTCATTTCTATGCTTTTCCTATCGATTGAATGACAATTACCTAGGATATTGAGAATCATTTTTGCTAAAAATCTATAAAAATTCCTGATGGGATTTGGATAAGGATTGGGTTCCTCTCGGCTGATAGAGGAGGAAACGCAGGCCCAAGAGGTGAGGGCCCTTTCCCGGAAGCAGGTCCTGATGCTGAGAATGGAAACCAGGCTTCCTGGCTCTGGGCCCACTCTCTCCAGTCATCACAGTGGAGGAAGAGGAGCTTGCTCATCCTGCCCCTTCCCCTTGCTGCCTCTCCTGGCCCCCTGTTCTCTACTACACTTTCTTTGGCAGTTTTAGGCAATGGGACTAACCAAATGCACAGAGGCAGGCAGTCAGTGTGGGGAGAGGCTCTGGAAGAAGCCCCACTGATAAATAGTGGTGAGGGCAGCTTTGTGGAGGAAAGCTCAAGGATGAGGAGTGTCATTGCCAACAGCAGCGTTACCTCTTCTCTCCCCGAAGGATCTCTACGACCAGCATCATCACCATCGTGGTGTGTGGAATCCTCAGTAAGAGCCTGGTCTTCACGCTCCTGTTGATCGCCACTCAGAGGTCATTTGGCAGCTAGGGCCATGAACCCAGAATGCCCCGCGACCTCCATCCACGTCCATCTGGCAGTTGTGCGAGAAGAAGGCTGTGAAACGGGAGGCAAGGGGGTGGGTGGGTGGGGAGGCAATGACTGAGTTGATCTGTAACACAGGTTATTTCTAAGGGTCAGGGTCCACCTTGCTGGCCCTGCTGACTCACCTCATTTCACTAACAACCTTGAGTGTTAGTGAAGATACAGCCCCTAATGTGCCCTGGGCCTCCATTCCCCAGTGGCCTAGGGTTTGCATTAAATAAAGATGGATCCAGTGCTTTTTTTGTTTGTTTGTTTAATGTATTTTAACAGCAGTTACAGGAATAGCACAGAAGACAGACAACATTAAAAACATGTATTAGCCTGTAGAACAATTAAGTTAGAAGAGTATAATGAATGGATGGAATGTACCATTGGATAAAAATGTTACAAATACCATTTAGTTGCCATCAATAAGAAATTTACTTTTTTCCCCCCCCCAAATGCTGGCATTGTCTAGAAAAACTTAACAGGTTTATTTATATTATTATAAAGTTTAACTTGTGGAATTTGTTCACTGAAACATTTGACTTGCATCAATGCTTTATGTCCCCACATTTATAATAAAGAAATGCATACACAAATGAAAATGGAAAGACTTGTCAATACTTATTTCTGTGCCCTATTTTCAACTTGCAGTCATATACTTAGGTACCTTTGACCCCATGAAAAAAAAAACCCTGATGTTCAGAACTACCAAAAACAGGAAGAAGAGAATTTTTTTTTTAAAGAATGAAATGTTTTGCATCATAGTGGATTCTGAAGCACGTTCTCCACGTATGCGGCATGCTGGCTGATGTCCCCTGGCATAATTGTTACATGTTTGGCATGGATAGCACGTAGGTTGGTGTCTTCAAAAATGCCACCCAGATCGGCCTCACTGGCCTAAGCAAAGCACCAATTGCCGCACTTTGGAAGCGCAGGTGTGTTTTGAAGTCCTGAGCAATTTCTCACACCAGACACTGGAAGGGAAGTCTGTGAATAGGAAGTTCATTGGACTTCTGCTAACTTCTAATTTCAGAAAGTGCTAAGGTGCCAGGCATGTAACAATGAGGTTTCTCCACCCATCCAGTAGAGGGCGCACTCTTTTGAGTGGCTTTGGTAGCCAGTTGCCTCTTTGGTGCTTTACCCCCATGGATTTGCGGGCAGTCTGCTTTGTTGGAGCCATGGTATGGAGACCTAGTTACTTACCCCTCTTCTCCTTCTGCCTGAGGCTGCGCAGGGCTTAGAGAGCAAAAGGCAGCTGTGAACGCCCCAATGCTTTTCACTGTCACTCACTGTCCCGTGGGGTCATGAGGTACAGAAGCCACAGCTGCTACTAGTAAATCTGCCTTGGTTCTTGCCCTGGACCACTGCACTGAGCTGCACCACAGAAGCCTCCTGTTCTCCTGGCCTCGGGGCCTTCCTTTCTTCTAGAATCAGATGCTTGGGTCCCTCCCTTCCATTGCAGTCCTTTCCCACACTCCCAGGAACGGGTGTTGGAAGCCATGGAATGAGGGGAAGACATGACGCCACATGGAGAAGTCCCTTTAGGGGCAGAGACACCGTGTGAACCAGAAGGCAGCATCCCAGGACAATACTGAAAGGATGAGACAGGCTTCCAAGGGTGAGACTGGTAGAGAGTATTGCTGACAGAGCATCATTGGTCTATTGTGTGCATCATCCCTGCGCCCTCAGAACAAGCCTGGGGAGGAGAGCAGAGTGGCTAGAATGAGGCCACAAGAGTAGAAAGTCCTCCCTTGTTGGCGGGAACAAAATGAAGGAGTCCCTTTCCTGAAGGCTAAGCCCACAGAGAAGAGAACAGCCAGGAGCTCTTCCTCTGATGCCTCCACATGCCACTTTCCCTGGAATCACACCAGGGGCAGGGACGGTGGCAGGACAAGATCTCTCCCGTATGGGCATTCCTCTTCCTCTCTAGGTCTGCCCCTGACAGTCCCCTTCAGCTCCCATGTTCACCCATGCAGTGGGAGTCCAGGCCCACCTATGTCTGGCAAAATCCACCAGATTTAAATCAGGGCTTGCCAATTTCTTACCTCTTTTGGCTCTAAAGGGGGAAGGGTCCCCCATCAGTGGGGAAAAATGATGGTCCTCCTTCTCCAATGCAGCAATGGCCAAGGCTAATTTCATATCTCATTTCCCCAAGAACAAGCACACCTTCCAGCACACAATCCAGCGCGTGTTAGGAAAACACATTCCTACCATCAGCATGACTTTCCCCCGCTGCTGTGGGAAAAAGAAGGCTGAGTGCTGAGGTGCAGTCCCCCAGCCCTCCCGTCCTGATCACACGGCCACCATACAAGGACTTCCTCATCAACCTGAGAGCAGTGCACTCAATGCTCTGGCTGCAGCCTCAGGAGGATGGCACTGACCCCAGAGACGCCCTCTCACCCCCCGATCTGAGGCCATTAGAAGAAGCGCACAGGGAAGTCTTGTCTCCTGAGAAGCCCTCCTCCCAGCAACTGTTCATCTCGGGGCATCTGTTTTCCTCCCTCAGGGGGCCGAGCAGCTCAGCGCAGTAACCACAGGACACGCGGTGTTTGCTTTCTGAGATTGCCTGTCTGGGACCTGCGGGCCAGCAGGTCCAGTGCTGTCCCTGTTCACGAAGGGACAAGGGCGGTGACATTCTGAGTGTTGCCTAGGAGAAGCAGAACACTTTAGTGCAGCATTTCTCCAACTCCGGGGCTCCTGCCTCCGGGGCTCCTGGAACATTTGTTTACAAAGCAGATTCCAAGGCCCCTCCGAGTGCGCGGTGCCATATCCCAGTGCGTGCTACGCTCTTGGTGGCTCTCAAGCTTGTTTGGGAGGTAGAGATCCAAGAAGTCATCAAGCTTCTTACCAAACACCTGGACACGTTCATAACCTGCTGCAGGAGTGCGTGCGTTTGTGTGCTTAATGTAAAGATAGGTTACATAGTGTTTAAGTCCAATATACACTGAGTGGCCAGATTACGATGATATTTGAACGCAAATAATCTGGCCACTCAGTGCATATCCTATATAATAAAAGGTTAATATGCAAATTGTGCCCTCAACCAGGTGCTTGACCAGCAGGCAGGCTGGCCAACCGCCCATATCCCCTCCCCCTGGCCAGGCTGGCCAGACCCCACCCATGCATGAATTCACACACCGGGCCTCTAACATACACTGAGTGGTCAGATTATTATGACCAGCCCATCAGTTCTCCATTGGGTCACCTTTTGCCTTCAATACTGCAGTGATTCTTCTTGGCATTGACTCCAAGAGATGTGGAAAGGTGATGCGAGGAATCTGACACCATGCCTGATGAATAGCATGTCCAGTTCTGTGAGATTTGATGGTTGTGGAACCAGCTGCCTGATGGCTCTTTTAACTTCATCCCACAAATGCTCAATTGGATTGAGATCTGGTGATTTTGGGGTCACTCAAGCAAGGTAAGATCTCCCTCATGTTCTTGAAACCACTCCTGCACAATATGAGCACCATGGCATGTCACATTGTCTTGTTGGAAGAAGCCATCTCCACTGGGATACGCCATCAACATGATAGGATGAACATGATCAGCAAATTTATTTAAGTGTGTTGTGCTATTTAGATGAATTCAAGGGCCCAAATCATGCCAGGAAAACATGCCTCAAACAATAATACTGCCCCCACCGGTTTGAAGGGTTGTACTCATGCATGTGGGGTGCATGCTTTCATGCTGTTTCTACAAAATTCTCACTCTGCCACCTGCATAATGCAACTGGAAACATGATTCATCAGACCACATGCCTTTTTTCCAATGCTAGACTGTCCAATCCTTGTGTTCCTGTATGAATTGGAGATGGTTTATCTTGGTAACTGCAGACAGCAAAGGTGTTCTAACAGGCCTTTGGCTTCCATATCCCAGGATGCAGTGTATGGCTAATGTGACTACAAATGTCAGGTGGCCATAATCTGGCCACTGTGTGTGTGTGTGTGTGTGTGTGTGTGTGTGTGTGTGTGTGTTGTTCAGAGATCATAATAATCTGACAAGTCAGTGTAAGCAGCCATTACAATTGTTTTCCTGCAACTCCTCTAATGATAGATTCTTTTCTTTTCTTTCTTTCTTTAAAAAAAAATATATTTTATTGATTTTCCACAGAGAAGAAGGTAGAGGGATAGAGAGTTAGAAACGTCGATGAGAGAGGAACATTGACCAGCTGCCTCCTGCACACCCCCTACTGGGGATATGCCCGCAACCAATGTACATGCCCTTGACCAGAATTGAACCTGGGACCTTTCAGTCTGCAGATCGATGCTCTATCCACTGAGCCAAACTGGTTTTGACAAGATTCTTTTCTTTTATACGAGAGGCCCAGTGCATTAAATTCATGCATGGTGGGGGAATCCCCTCAGCCCAGTCTGCATTCTCTTCAATCTGGGTCCCCTAGGACATCCCTCTCACAATCTGGGACTGCTGGATCCTAACTGTTCACCTGACTGCCTGCCTGATTGCCCCTAATTGCCCTTCTGACTGGCCTGGTCACCCCTAACTGCCCCCCCCCCACTGGCCTGGTCCCCCCGCTGGCCTGGTCACCCCCAACTGCCCCCCTGCCAGCCTGGTCACCCTTAACTGCCCCCTCTGCTGGCCTGGAAACCCTTAACTGTCCTCCCCCCCCTGCCAGCTTGGTCACCCACAACTGCCCCTTTGCTGGCCTGGTTGCCCCTTACTGCCCCTGTCTGCCAGCCTGGTCACCCTCACTGCCCCTGTCTGCTGGCCTGGTTCCCCATGCAGCCTGCTGTTCCATTGTTACTGGGAGAGTGTCCTGACCAATTTGCATATTATCCTCTTAATAGTACAGATTTTTATTTTCAGTTAGTTTGCATTCAGGGTGATTTTGTGTTGCTTTCAGGTGTAGAGCATAGATTTACACACTTTACAAAGAGGCCCCCACCCCCACCCCAGAACCACACGGAGTTGTTGTTGGCACTAATAGTCACGGGGATGCAAAGTACAAATTATTTTCTAAATGAGCTTGGTTAGCATGGCCTTCCAGCAAATGCTTAAGGAGCGATGACAGTGGCAAGCGGGGAGCTGGAGACACAGAGGGCAGAGACCCCCATTCTTCCCACACGCCCTCCTTCCACACCTTCTTCCCGCCCCCTCCTCCCACAAGGTCTGCTTTGCTCTCCCACCCTTGCCAGGGACCTTCCCTGCACCTCCTCCTCTGAGAATGACTCCCCACCTCCTCCTGCTCCTCTGGTCCCCACAGGACACCCCAATTCCCAGCAGATCTGGGCAGGCGGCCTCTGACCACTGGGGCTTCCAGAGGGTCCCCCTGCCTCTGTCACTCACCCTCAGCCCTGCTTTCATGGTGGCGAGGAGAAAGCTGAGGCGGAGAAGGAAGTGGAAGGACCGAGGGGAGACAGTGGGAGGAGGAATGGCTTCTTATCTCAACATCATTTCCTTCTGGGTCTTTCACCGATTTCCCCACGCCCATGGGAGGGAGGCAGTGGGCAGGCTTGGCCCAGAGAGCCCCAGCCACCCCAGAGGCAGCGGGGCAGGGGAGGGTCCCGCGTAGGCCCAGGCCTCCCCTCCTCTCTGCCATGCTCCCCACCTGCAGTCTTAGCTTTCCTCAGCCCTTCTTCCCAGACAGGAGGAGCGGCTGCTGAACCCGCCAGCTCCCGCAGAGGCTCCTCAGGGCGGCTGCTGCCTCCCCAGCTCCCGCAGAGGGCCATGGCCTGGGAGGCCACGCGCCTGCTGCCCCTTGTCCTGCTGGTGCTCCTGGCCTCAGGTGAGGGTAGAGGCGTGGGGGAGAGGAGGAGGGATGCTAGTGAGGAGGTAAGAGGGGCATGGGGAGGAGGGTGAGGTGTGGGGGGGGCACTGAGTGTAGTGCATGGAGGACTTCCTGAGGAGGGGCCCCTCTCAGCTCTGGGACAAGGAGCGGCTCCCTGACCCCAGGGTTTATTCTCAGGCTCCTGGGAGCAGCAGGTGCAGAAACTGGAAGGGGAGGAACTCTTCGTAACGTGCCAGTATCGACCCCAGAAAAGTTCCAAGACGAAAACCTGGTGCAGAATAATACCAGCAGGAACTTGTGACTCATTAGTCACCCACCCCAGGCTCCGGGGCCAGCCTGGAGACCCAAGATACCTCATCATGGATTACCCCCAACAGAGGTACTTCACCGTCACCATGGCTGCGCTCAGAGAGAAGGACTCGGGTTTGTATGAGTGTGGAACCTTGGAATCTTCCATAGTCATTCCTCTCAGAACCATCCTTCTGTTGGTATCTCCGGGTGAGTCCTTTCCCTCTGTGTGTGCTTCCCAGGTTCCCTGAACCGCAGCAGGCGGATGCCGGGAAGGACCTAAGCCAGGCCCCCAACCCCCGTGGCTGAACCCCAGGCCCCTTCCCAAGGTCGCCGCTGGTTATGGGCAGAGCCAGCACCAGAACTCAGACTGCCGGCTTGGGGCAGTTCTTCCTTCCCCAGCACACACTTCTCCAAACACTTGTTACTCAGTCGACTCCCCGTAGACTTGGCCTTGAGCAAGCCTGTCTTATCGGTCCATCTGGGGTACCCTCCCCCGGCCTTCCCTCCTGACCTTCTCTCCTGACCTTCTCTCGAAGGGCTGACCTTGAGGCAGTCACAGGTGACTGTGTTGGGCTCAAGGAATGTGGACAAGCAGGGGACAGCCACAAGGGGTGGACGGGGACTGCGGGGTGAGACTGATGGCTCAGGGGGCCTGGGTCCCACCCTGCACCGGCCCCTGATCCTTGAATGATCTTCAGTCTCAGCCTGGGAAGCTTGAGGCTCCTCCTAATCCTGAGCGTCCCCCCTCCCCCATATGCCTCCTGAAAACTTCAGAGTTGCAAAACAGTATCTTCGAAGACCCCCACCTTGCTTCCGAGTCTGCCCAGCTGTATGGTCAGCTGGGGGTCTGGTGAACCCACATCAGCTGCTCTGTCATCCTCTGCCCAAGCCTGGGCTCACTGCCCACTCCATGTAGGGCACTGGGCAATGCCCTGGGAGAGGAAGGGAACCCTGAGACATAACTAAAAGGCTATGATGCAGGTGGTGGTTGGAGGCATAGTGGATGGAGGCTCAGCGGAGGGAGGGGCCAGGTTGCCAGTGAAGGCCAGGAGTATGGACCTGCCTGCAGGACTCCCCAGAGGAGGTGACACTGCAGCAGGCAGTGGGGGGCAATTGGAGGCTAGCAAGCCAGCAGGAAAGCTAGGGTCTCGGCTGAGAGGGGTCTCTGCCCTCTGTGTCCCCAGATCCCACAGGGATCCGGCCTAAATTGTCAGTTGGACATCCCCGTGCACGAGGCCAATAGTATATTAATAAAAAATGATGTGTGAAGCAATATGCCACAGGTATAGGTGAGTGCAAGGCAGAGGGGATGGTGAGAGCTGGAGGAATCGAAGATTATTCTTGAGAAGGTGGGGGCATATGGATTGGTGAAGAATAGCAGGCAAGTGCATTTCCAAGGACATGAACAGAAAATTTCTTCCTCCTTCTCTTTCTTCCTCCCTTCCTTCTTTTCTTTTTTCCTGTCTCTGGCCCAGGCTGACCCTACACATAAAAAACAAACAAACAAACAAACAAAACAAAAAACAAAAAAAAACTTTGCCAAAGGAAACCTGTGTCATGAATGTCAAAGTTTATTTCCCTCCTCAGATCCATTTACCCTATGAATCCATCCATCCATCTAATGTGTCTTCTTGCAGTTCCTACTCTTTTTCCTGTGACCACCATGACCCGTACCAGGCCCCGTCATGTGACTCAGCTCATGTCAACTGCCAGCCTCTCCTCCCCTGGCCCCGGAGTCAACTCCACACACGGGACGGATGCTCTCAGTACAGTGCCCAGGTCTCTCCGTGGGGGCTGGGTGGTGGGTTTGGACCCTTTGATTCCCAGTCCTGGTCCTGAGAGGATGTGGGGGTGAGGGATGGGGAGGGAGAAGCCCAGGAGCAGACTTGAGTCACTTCCATCTGCTAGGACTTCCCAGGGTGGAGGGGGTGAAGCTAGAAGGGGGAGGAGGCTCTGGCCAGGCTGCCCTCTCCCCATTTCACCCTCTCTCCTGGGGTGCCAGAGGAGGGGGAAGTGGCATCTGAGCTGAATTCCCATGCTTCTTTCTTTCTTTTTTAAAAAATTAATTTATTTTATTGATTATGGTCTCACATAATTGTCCTTATCCCCCCATTCCCATCCCAACCCCTCCCTACATATGCACACAGCCGCCCCCCCCCCGCCCCCCCCCCCCCCCCCCCCCCCCCCCCCCCCGTTGTCCATGGCCATTGGCTAGGTCCATATGCAAGCACACAAGACCTTTGGTTGATCTCTTCCCCTTACACCCACCCTCCCTCTGAGGTTTGAGAGTCTGATCCATGCTTCTCTGTCTCTGGGTCTGTTTCTGTTCATCAGTTTACGTTGTCCCATGCTTATTTCTGTTTGTACACGTTTTAACACAGTGAAAGCTCTAAATATTTTCATTAATTTTCCTTGCAAAACTTCTTCTTTCATGTGCTACCCAGTCTTCCTAATTATAATGTCAACAAATGTCTACTTTTGTATCAATGGGGAAACCATAATGGAGGTAACCATTGGCCTGTTTTAAGATGTTGAGATTGTTTCCTCTTTTTCATACTATAAACTCTGAGATGGGCATATTTTTGCAGATGTCTTTTCCTTTAAATAATTCATTCAAATAGAAGTGCACCATAGAACGTGTGCACTGTTCTGTATACCAAACGTCCCTCCAAAGACAGGGAGCGGTGTGACCCATAAGGCACATGAGGGCGGGGTTGCTGCAGGCAGCCCTCTGGGGACTTTCTGCAGCAGGCTCACACCCAGGCGCAGGCCACAGGGAGGAGGGCCAGAGAGGCCCTGGGCTGGCTGGCCCCACCCCATGCCCCGCCAGCCTGCAGCACCACTGGTGTCTGACCTTGACCAGGCCACCTGCCACATCTCCTTTCCGGTGACTCAGGACCGTTTCTCAGCCAGGGGGTGGACGGAGGCCACAGGTTTGCTTCCCACTTTCTAGAGCCATTATGTCGTTGGGCACTTTGCCTGTTTGTACATTTGGTTTTTAGTTTTGTGTAGGAAACACCAATTCTAAAGTCACTGTTGTTTTATTCCTTCCATGTGCTTGATTCTACTTCCTGGTGACTTTTCAATTATCTAAAAATGTCAACTTTAAATTTAAATTTTGGATTCTTATGTAACATTAGATCTGCCTCTGGATTTCAATGTGGTTCACTGCCACCTTTTCTCCCTTGGTTCCGTGTCTTATCACGCAGGCCGCTTGTGCTGTAACCTATTTCCATGTCTCTGAGTGTAAGCAGGCCAAGTCTCCTCACTCATTTCTATGCCTTTCTTATTGATCGAATGATAGTTACCCAGGACATTGAGAATCATTTTTGCTAAAAATCTATAAAAATTCCTGATGGGATTTGGATAAGGATTGGGTTCCTCTCGGCTGATAGAGGAGGAAACGGAGGCCAAAGACGAGAGGGCCCTTTCCTGGAAGCAGGGTCTGATGCTGAGAATGGAAACCAGGCTTCCTGGCTCTGGGCCCACTCTCTCCAGTCATCACAGTGGAGGAAGAGGAGCTTGCTCATCCTGCCCCTTCCCCTCGCTGCCTCTCCTGGTCCCCCGTTCTCTACTACACCTGCTTCAGCACTTTTAGGCAATGGGACTAACCAAATGCACAGAGGCAGGCAGTCAGTGTGGGGAGAGGCTCTGGAAGAAGCCCCGCCAATAAATAGTGGTGAGGGCAGCTTTGTGGAGGAAAGCTAAAGGATGAGGAGTGTCATTGCCAGCAGCAGCGTTACCTCTTCTCTCCCCGCAGGATCTCTACGACCAGCATCATCACCATCGTGGTGTGTGGAATCCTCAGTAAGAGCCTGGTCTTCACGCTCCTGTTGATTGCCACTCAGAGGTCATTTGGCAGCTAGGGCCATGAACCCAGAATGCCCTGCGACCTCCATCCACGTCCATCTGGCAGTTGTTCGAGAAGAAGGCTGTGAAATGGGAGGCAAGGGGGTGGGTGGGTGGGGAGGGCAATGACTGAGTTGATCTGTAACACGGGTTATTTCTAAGGCGCAGGGTCTACCTTGCTGGCCCTGCTGACTCCCCTCATTTCACTAACAACCTTGAGTGTTAGTGAAGATACAGCCCCTAATGTGCCCTGGGCCTCCATTCCCCAGCGGCCTAGGGTTTGTATTAAATAAAGACGGATCCAGTGCTTTTTTTGTTTGTTTGTTTAATGTATTTTAACAGCAAAGTTACAGGAATAGCACAGAAGACAGACAACATTAAAAACATGTATTAGCCTGTAGGACAACTAAGTTAGAAGAGTATAATGAATGGATGGAATGTACCATTGGATAAAAATGTTACAAATACCATTTAGTTGCCATCAATAAGAAATTTACTTTTTTTTTTTTTTTTTTTTTTTTTTAAATCCAAATTCTGGCATTGTCTAGAAAAACTTAACAGGTTTATTTATATTGTTATAAAGTTTAACTTGTGAAATTTGTTCACTGAAACATTTGACTTGCATCAATGCTTTATGTCCCCACATTTATAATTAAAAAAAGCACACACAAATGAAAATGGAAAGACTTGTCAATACTTATTTCTGTGCCCTATTTTCAACTTGCAGTCATATACTTAGATACCTTTGACCACATGAAAAAAAACCCCTGATGTTCAGAACTACCAAAAACAGGAAGAAGAGAATTTTTTTTTTTAAAGAATGAAATGTTTTGCATCATAGTGGATTCTGAAGCACGTTCTCCACGTATGTGGCATGCTGGCTGATGTCCCCTGGCATAATTGTTACATGTTTGGCATGGATAGCACGTAGGTTGGTGTCTTCAAAAATGCCACCCAGATCGGCCTCACTGGCCTAAGCAAAGCACCAATGGCTTCACTGTGGAAGCGCAGGTGTGTTTTGAAGTGTTGAGCAATATCTCGCACCAGACGCTGGAAGGGAAGTCTGTGAATAGGAAGTTCATTGGACTTCTGCTAACTTCTAATTTCAGGAAGTGCCAAGGTGCCAGGCATTTAACAATGAGGTTTCTCCACCCATCCAGTAGAGGGCGCACTCTTTTGAGTGGCTTTGGTAGCCAGTTGCCTCTTTGGAGCTTTACCCCCATGGATTTGCGGGCAGTTTGCTTTGTAGGAGCCATGGTATGGAGACCTCCTTACTTACCCCCCTTCTCCTTTGGCTGGAGGCTGGGCAGGCCTTAGTAAACAAAGGGCAGCTGCAAATGCCCCAATGCTTTTCACTGTCACTCGCTGTCCTGTGGGGTCATGAGGTACAGAGGTCACAGCTGCTACTAGTAAATCTGCCTTGGTCCTTGCCCTGGACCAGAGCACTGGGGCCGGACCCTGGCAGAGCTGCACCACAGAAGCCTCCTGCTCTCCTGGCCTCGGGGGCCTTCCTTTCTTCTAGAATCAGATGCTTCCATTGCAGTCCTTTCCAACACTCCCAGGAAAGGATGTTGGAAGCCATGGAGTGAAGAGAAGACACAATGCCATGGGGAGAAGTCCCCTTAGGGGCAGAGACACCGAGTGAATCAGAAGGCAGCATCCCGGAACAATACTGGGAAGATGGGACAGGCTTGGAAGGGTGAAACTGGTAGAGAGTATCGCTGACAGAGCATTATTGGTCTACTGTGTGCATCATCCCTGCACCCTCAGAACAAGCCTGGACACATCCTTTGTTGGCGGGAACAAAAATTGAAAAGTCCCTTTCCTGCAGGATAAGCCCAAGAGAAGAAAACAGCCAGGAGGTCGTCTAGTGGTGAACGAGCCATTGATGCTACAGTCCCTCCCCTGCACACTGGAAGCCACTCAAACCCACCACCATACTGTTCACGGGCTTTCTACGTGCACTATCTCCAACTGGCCCCACATCTTTCATCATAGGACCATACGTTTGGTCAGGCTTAGGTCATGTTCCAAGCCTTTGCCGTAGGGCCCAGGGAGAGATGGCAGGAGGAATCTGCCTCCATCTCAACAGAAGGGGAGCTTTGCGTCCTAGTGAGACCCACACATTGGGGCATATCCCCCAAGTGGAAGAGGCATTGGGGGCTGGAGTCTCAAAAGATGACAAATATTCACTACATATCCTCCGAAGCTGGTAGGGTTAAGTGAGATCATCTGCGTAAAGCTCCTGGGGCACCAGGGCCTTCAATCCACGGCAGTTAGTCACTCCCAGGAGCATTACAATGGTGGTCTCCGTGCCTCTGTCTAACTGGGACTCCTGGAAGCGCTCACCTCAGCCACAGGCTGAGGACCCGGAAAGCCTCGGCGCCCCTCTGACCTCATGAGGAGCTTTGCCAGGCATCATCCATTTGGACCACTTGCCTCACCATCACCTGTGCTGCTTGTTCAAGTGCAGATGCTGGGCCCGCTCTAGACTTCCTAAACCGGGGTCTAGGGAGTGGAGCCCACACGTGTGTAAGTTTGCCGGGCTTCCCAAGTGATGGAGCCACATGCTCATACTTGAGGAGCATGGTGTGGAGTGAGCTTAAACGAGGCACGCCATCAGGAAGGTGTGAACCGGACCTTGAAGGGTAACCGGATGTGGATGTCCCGGAGCGGCTCGGGAGGCAGTGGCCGGTGCCTGGTGACGAGGCTGTCTCGGTGCCCTGAGGAAGTGAGTTGAGCAGAGGTGGGAGGTCCGATGGCGGTCGGGGCTCGCTGTGGCGGGGAACGGGGTGTTGCCCCATAGGCTGTGGCACAATGACAGCAGGAAGGAAGGTGTCACAAGGACAGTGATCTCTTTCCTCCTTCTGCATTTTCCTGCACTGGTACCTGTCACTGCAGTTCCCTCAGCATTTCTCAACTGCACAGTAACAGCTACCTCTCTCCGAGGAGGTGGACAATACCCACATGGGGCAACACCCCCCAGCAATGGCTACAGCCCCTGGGATGGCCAACACCTGAAGGATAGAATGGACAGGACGGGGCTCTGGGGGCGGCCACGGTGGTGGCTGCTGCTGCTGCTGCTGCTGCTCTGGGTCTCAGGTGAGGAGAGGAAGGGTGAGGGACGGAGGTGGCCCAGAGGAGGTGCCTACTGAGAGGGATCTCTCACTCCTTCAGGAGGACTGGGATGGGATCCCGGTACGTGCTAGAGTCAGGAATGGGGGAAGGAAGGAAATGAAAGCAGGCTGTGCTGCTGACCCTGACCCAGCAGGGCTGGGTGACGAATGGATGCTGGAGGGTCCCTCTGGGCACCTCCAAGTTGAGAAAATGTGCGAAGTCACTAAACAACCCCTCCTTGCTGTGCTGACAGCCTGGGGGATGTAAAGGAGTGCAAGGCATGGGCCCTCCTCAATCAGAAAGCCCGTCTACCCACCTGGCCCAATACTTCTGCCCGAACTGCCCAATAAACTTTCTCCTTTTGAACCAGAGAGTTGGAGAGGCCTCCACCACACAGAACCCTGCTCTCCACTTCCTGCATATCCCAATATGTAAATACTGGATTCATGCATATTGAAAGGAAATTAATTAGAAGGTGGCTGGCGGGGAAGGACTGGGAGAGATGGACATGGCATGCCCTGGAGCCAATCTCCCACAGTCCCTCCACATGGGGCAAAGGGCTCAAAGGGGCTCAAAGAGTGTCTGTATAGGAGTGAATGGGGTGCCTCAGCCTGCCTTGCAGGGATCAGGCTGAAACCAACAGTCTGACATCCTTCAAGCAGTCCTGGAGTGTGAAAGGGCACCCAGAAAAATTGCTGTTGCTTGGTAGTTCCTGCATTAAGTGTCTACCCCCTGGTGGTTGGTGCGTGTCATACCTACAGTCTGGGTGGCTGGTGGCTTAGCCTTTTATATATATACTAGAGGCCTGGTGCGTGAAAATTCATGCACTGGAGGGGGGTTCCCTCAGCCCAGCCTGCTCCCTGTCATAGTCCAGGAGCCCTCAGGGGTGAGAGGCAACCCGGCAATCAGGGGAAGGTGATGCCCCATGACACCTCTGCTGCCTCTACTGCTGGTAGCGCAAACCTTGGCCTGTCCTGGTTACCTGAGCCTCAGGCTGGCCCTAGGAAGCTGGGGGGTTGAGGGGACTGGGGGACTCTGGAGGCAGGTGGGCAGAGCGGCCAGGCCCACCTGCTGGCTTGGTGGGATAAGAGGACTGGGAGGTGCCATCTTGTGGCTGTGGGTGCTACCATCTTTGAGGGCATGGCAGCCAATTTGCACATGCCCTCCTTATTGGCTGTGGGCACCACCATCTTTAGGACAGGGCAGTCAATTAGCATATTCCCTCCTTATTGGCTGTGGGTGATGCCATCTTTGAGGGTGGGGCAGTCAATTAGCATATTCCCTTCTTATTAGATGTGGGAGCTGCCATCTTTGCTAGGGCATGCGAGACAATTAGCATATTCCCTCTTTATTAGATAGGATATAGAGTGGTAACATGCAAATGAGCCAGGACACCGTAACATCACAACCACTCAGGAGGAGGCTATGTATGCAGGTGGGTGGGAGGGGAATGTGTGTGCAGTGAGGTAAGCCACAGATGGCACAGGCCCACAGAGAACAGGGCTTGCCAGCCACAGTGCACTGGCAGTCCTGCCTCTGTGTGTGAACTGCAGAGGAAACATTTTTTCTGACTACTCGTTGGGTAAGCTCCCCGTATGCCATGCTCAGTGTTCTTGGTCACTTGAATAATAAGAACCCAAGAAGGTGATCTAGGGTCTTTCCACCTCACTCCTGGAGGGGAAAATGAAGGTCTGCTGCTGGACGGGCTAAGAAATGTCATATCCTGCCCTAACTGGTTTGGCTCAGTGGATAGAGCCTCAGGCTGGGTTTGATTCTGGTCAAGGACATGAACCTAGATTGCAGGCTCCTCCCTGGCCAGGGGCCAGATCAGGGCTCATGCAGGAGGCAACCAATCAAAGTATCCCTCTCACATTGATGTTTCTCTCTGTCTTTCCCTCTCTCTTCCACACTCTAAAAATCAATGGAAAAATATCCTCAAGTGAGGATTAAAAAAAAGGAAGGAAGGAAGAAAGAAATGTCATATCCTATGAAAGAGACATCTTGAAAATGCCTAAAGAAAGTTGTCATTTCTTCATGGTGAAGGGACTGGAGTCTGTGTTGATTAAAACATCTTGGTGGCTGTGGTGGCCGGCAGTGGCTGCAGCAGCAGAGTAATCAGCCTGGTCGCCTCCTGCAGAGGGAGGCCAGACTGCTGCTTACACCCATTCCCCATACATCAGTAGGACATCCCCAGAGGGTTCCCAGATTGGAGAAGGTGCAGGTCGGGCTAAGAGATTCCCCCACACAAATACCCATGCACTAATTTCATGCACCAGGTCCTAGTATATATAGATTAGGCCAGGGTAGAGTTGAACTTCATAATAATATTTGGAAATAAAGAGTTGACCAAGCAAAAGGAAGGAGCTATAGGCAAGAGTGAAGGGAAG